GTGTGTAGGATCGGGGTCTCCTTTTTGAGCATGTTCCATCACCAAAGATCATCGGGGCATTTAGTTAATGCAGCTCTCATGTTCTCGCGCATCATATGTCCCTTGTTCTTCTTGTTCTTAGCCTGAAAGGGTTAGCAAACAAGAATACCCGAAGGTGCATACTAACTTGATAATATGTTCTTGCTTTTATTAAAGAAGAAATGGTTTTTTTATGATAATCATTATATATATTTTTTTTTATAATATATTTTTCCTCATGATAATCTAGGGTATCTTCCGACAGTGCTTAATTTATGGTCTTAAGCTTGACAGTGGGAACTTCGTATTGCAGCTATCATTGGTGGTGTAATTCCCAGCTTCACCATTAAGCATTTAGCATCATTGTTCAAGCTGCAGGGTTAGTACCACAGTGCTACTACGAGATTTGTAATATTTGTGATAAACGAAGGCATCCACAACCATTCTCCTAAAGAGTTTGTAAACGAGGAGTGATAGGTGATTGTGTTCCTCGTAGGAGCATGGAGTACTAAGCAAGAGTTTTTGTTCCTAAGGGATTTATCGTATAGTATTAATGTTGAATTTTTACCATCATTGAGAACAACATTTGGATGGCTAGAGGGACATGGCTTGGGTTCGAGCGAGGGTGATGATGGACGTTCAGTTTCATAAGCAAGCTTAGGTGAAACGAACGGAGATATGAACTTCACCACCTCGAACGGGTTATTGTTGGGATGATGCTCCGCCATTAGGATATCTAAGTGACTGGCGGAAGCAGTTTTCCCAAACTCTTTACTAAGGCTCCATGGGAAGGTTTTTCTTGAGAAAGTACTTCGGAAGGGCAGACTATAAGAACATCAAAATCGAGGATGGCATAGATGTTGAAATCTAAATGAACTTTGGTTTCGTTAATTTTAATTGGCACAGCCCTGACAAGCCCACTAGACTCAAAGATGAGTCCTGATGGACTTTTGAAAAGTTTGTTGGTCGAGACTAGCGGCATGTTGCCCAAAAGATTTTTTTTGCAAGAAATTTTGACATGATGCTAGTCCCGACTGTGGGGTTGTACAGGGCTTTTATGACACTCCCCCTTAATGAACAAGGTATGGTAGTGGAAGGGGAAAGAATCCGAATTGCTTTCGAAAAACGCTTCACTTCCATTAAATATTCCTTAGATGATTCTACTTTGGGGAAAACTTCCTCGTGAGGATTGTGCCAAAAGTGTTTCGAGGTATTGCCATAATCCGCGAATTCGATAGGGAACTCGAAGGATGTATTAATGTTTCCTTCAGTGTTCATGGTTTGAGTGAGGGCTCATAGATCGAATCTAAGGAAGCTACGGGTTCGGATTCGACTGATGAGGACTCCTCAACAATCGACATGACTTTCGCCTAGAGGGTTATATTTCTCATGGCGGGGGAAGTGTAGCTTTCTAGGAAGTTTTCAAGGAATTTCACTTGTTACGTCATGGTTTTGTGTCTAAAACGACCTCCGGCAGTCACGTCTAGGCATAGGTTAGCATGTATGTCGATACCCAAATAAAAGAGTCGCAACAATACACCATCGGGTAAAGACAAGTCTAGGCTAGCATGTATTAACGCTGAAAACCTGGCCAAGGCTGTACCTATCGACTCCTTGTACTACTCAAAGTTGAGGATCGCCCTTGGTAGAGAGTTGATATGAGACATAAGGAAACATGCAAGGTGAAACTTGTCTTTAAGTTCATCCCAGTCCCCATTCGTACTTTCTACGGTATATGTGTACCATTGCTTCGCCTTCCTCGTGAGAGAGAAGGGAAACAATTTCCACTTTAAAGTTTCCTGCGTCATGCCCAGGATGCTTAGGCATGAACACATTTCCTCAAACTCGTGTAGGTGATGGCTGGGTTTTCATTATAGTGCCCTAAGAAGGGTTGTGCCCAAACCATGGCTATTAAGCCAAGGCAGAGTTCACAGCCAGATGAAAAGGTTGGTTTTGGTGGAAGTGGTGGCTCATGAAACTCGCCCTTTGAAGCAGACCGGTACTGGATAGGAGTGGATTTCATGGTGAAATTTTTTTTTGTGTTTTTTATAAAAAGAAAAGTTACAAATACGAGGACGAACTAGGTTCAAAGAAATACAGCAACCATTCCCCGACAACTACGCTAGAAATGCTTGTTGGTATTTCTTAGCGTAAGCAGAAAAGTTCACAAGTGCACGAAAATACCGTTGTAGCACTTCACCCGGAAGTATTCAAGGTATCGTCTTTTCCACATGGAACGGAGGTACTCTTCTAGCTAATTCGTCCAAGGACAACACAAGAGTACAGTTCATAGAGGTTGATATGGATTCCTATGGTTTTAGGGTCTATGGATAGATTAACTTTACTCTACTCTCTTACTTCGAGCACCGGCTTATACCTGGTCTGCCAGGCACCTCCGGCCTATAGCTTTACGTCGAACCCGAACGTGGGGGATTACAAGAGACAGACATGGCTGTCACTACCTGCCACCTACCCTTCAACCGTGGGGAACGAGGCAAATGAAGGCAACTTCTAGCTCAGACACCATGTCTACGCTATTGGTTACTACTCTAGCGATGGCCAGGAACTTCCGTCTTTATCAGGAGTCCTCAAACTAGAGCATCCGCCACGGGGACGAACGATGAACCCACAAACAAGTAAGAGTAAAGCTTAACTAATCAAAGACATTATAACCAAAAGAACCAGAAACACTCACTTAGCGGGAAAACCCGTTGAAGTAGGGATGTTCGTCGAGGTAAGAGTTGGGGAGACACCAACAAGTCCAGCGCTTCCGCGAGCTCTCCCTCACATCTCTCCCTTACAACTCTAGCTAGCTACTAGGGCCTAAGCCCTTTGGAGTGTTGCTCTACTTGAGTGAGGTGTGCTCTTTGCCTTTGTGATTTTTTGTTTTAGAGGGGGGTACCCCTGTATTTATACGAGTAGAGGCGGAGCAGTAGCTATTCCTGGCGCGTCCCCGATTTCCACCGCCTCAGCATGTCCACATGCCACCGCCTGTCGAAGAGGTGGACGAGAGGAGCCGACAGGGGGTCGCCCGCCCACTAACCAAGCCGGCTCGCCACCGCCTTCACATGGTGGGCTGTGGGCTGGACATGGATCACTCCTTGGTGGTGCTTTGCCCCAGTTGAATTGAGTTGATGGGCGTCTCCCATGTTCCATTGCATGAATCAACATTGGGAAGCGCCTTTTGGTGAAGTTTTCCATGCATTTGTGTTTATGTCCTGCAAAATAATAATCTCTAAATACATATGGAACTTTGTCAATAGTAAATGCCTATGGGTTTAGGATTGCCAATTTCTTCTCTTTTTATGTCTTAATCGACGGTCAGATTTAATCGTTAAGGACCGCCAACACATACCCCCTGTTGTAAGCCGATTGGAGCACTTTGACATTGAGGAACATGTCCTCGCAATCTCCGGCACCGGACGTAGGGCTTTGTCCTAAACTAGTATAAATTCTCTGTGTCCTGAGTGCTAGCCAACGACTCCCTTAAGCAGCGCGGCGCTAAATTTACTCATCAGTTCTCAAAACACCGACAATGAGCATCCGCATTCATCGGGTCCTTGACAATCGTTATTTGGGCCGGTAGGGCAAGCATGTAGTCGTGTACCTGTGGCCCATATGCTCCAATGTGGTCTACCTATCTGTCCAACCCGGGCTCCCGGTGATGGCCCCGCCACGAGCTGATGAACCGTGCCTGCCCTATCCGACACGTACCATCAACGCCGTGATCCGCGAGGCGGCGAGGCTGCGCATCGGTGGTGCCAGCGGAGGTCCCTCCATACTAACTCAGCTTACTGGAATTAATCACCCGCGCCGACGGCTTGCGAAGCTGATTGGTTGTTCCGTTGTAGGCTAGCAGTGTCTAGCACAGATTTTGCCTAGCAGTATTGAACAGTTGGGGCCATTGCATGCAAACGAACGGTTCGGTTCTAATTACGCTAGTAATTACCTGCCTCGATTAGCCAGCCCGCCTACTATATTACGGTAAAAACCAAAAAAGTGCTCACGCGTTGTACAAGGGAATGGAGGGTGTAGTCAAATAGTATAGGATATAGTGGTAAATTTAAATTTTGCCATAATATTTTTCTCACTAATTGTGTGCCTTGTGGCGATAAAATTTTTTTGCCACTAATAAATGTCATATCAGTGAGGTAATACTTTTTGCCACATATATCTTGATAAATAGTGGAAGAACAATGTTTCGCTCCACTAAAGATGCTTTTTGTGGCGAGTTAATATTTTTGTCACTAATAACCGACATAAGAGTGATCAAAACTAGTTTTTTTCACAAATAGTATGGCAAATAGTGGCAAATTTAAATTTCGCCAAAATATTTTCTCACTAATTGTGAGTCCTGTGGCGAACACTTTTTTGCCACTAATAATTGTTATATCAGTGAGGTAAACACTTTTTTGCCATAGATATCTTGTTAAATAGTGGCAAAACAATGTTTCACCACTCGATTTGCCACTAAAGATGCTTTCTGTTGTGAATTAGTATTTTGCCACTAATTACCAACGTAATAGTGATGGAAACTAGTTTTGTCACAAATAGTATGCGCATTAGTGGCAAAGATAAATTTCGCCACACAATTTTACCACTAATGCTCCGTCTACCAGTGAATGTAACATTTACGAGGCACAGGATAATGCTCTCTTTTAAAAAAAAACTGTACGCTTATAACGTTTCAAATGCAGCATAATAGTATATATATTTTTATATCTGTAAGATCCCTATTTCATTAGAGTAGTAGAGCACAGAAGCATTTTCCATGTATGTATCACAAAGTAGCACCTACAACCCCTAGACATAATGGGCCTGTTCGCTGGTTGGTGTTGGTGCTGGTTTGGGCTGGCTGGTGCTGGTTTTTTGTGAGAGAAAAATATTGTTGGCTGGCTGATTTTGGCTGGCTGAAACCAACAAACGAAACAGGCTGAATGTAACATACAGTAACACATACAATCCACAAAGACCGAAAGTAACTAATGCACTATCTTTGAAAACTTATTTGATGAATACTTTGCCGCGAATTCAGTAATATTCTTGTCCGAGCTCCCTCCATTCTGCATGGCTTCCTTGGCCTTTTGCATCCACATAGTGGCATTCATCCTATACTTATCCTTTCTATCCCCATCCATAACATCCTTGATGCACTTTTCCACTTCGTCCCTCGTCACCAAGCCTTTCTCATCTCTGCGCACCCGGACACCCAAGCCCCACATGCTCTCCATGTATTTTGATATGGTCGGCTGGTCTGCCCAGTGTGGTATTGCCACCATTGGCACAGCATTAGCAATTGCTTCTAGTGTCGAGTTTCATCCACAATGTGTGAAGAAACAACCTGCATATTAAAAGTATGCAACTAAATTTTATATTTCTTATCAACTTTGTCTCATATTCCATTATATGTATAAGAATAACCATTCCCCATACCTGTGGCTTTATGTGCTAGAACTTCGAGCTAGGGGCACCAAGAAACAATAAGGCCGCGTTCCTTGCACTTGTCACGGAGTTCATTGGACAGCTTGTGTTCTTCATTTGACCTCACAACCCAAATGAATGGTTTGCCAGAATTGTACAATCCATTGCCAAGCTCTTCTAACTGTGCTTCGTCATAATCAGAGACAGTACCATAGGATACAAGAACTACAGAACACGGAAGCTGCTTGTCAAGCCAAGCCAGACATGACTCGTTGCTGTTGAAGAGGTTGAAACCATAAGTCTTGTTCAACGGCAAACGGTCATCATCAAGATAAAATGATGGCAAGGTTGGGCCTATTGTCTTTGCGCGCCATGTTAGTGCCATATAATCTGCCTCCTGCTCAGTTATTAACAATGCAAATGCGTCAACAAGAAAATCAATCTTATGAGGGTGAAGTGGAATCAAAGAATCACAACAAACAGACCAATCATCGATTATTCAGTAAAGAAACATGACTATTGACGAATCTTGACGTTTCTATCTATAAGAAAAAAACAGAGTATGTGCAAGCAGCACCGAAAATTCACTTGAGCAAAACAACAAACAGGTGCCGGCCGTGGTCACGGTGGGCTCACCTTGGGTTCGATCTCGTGGAATGAGTTGACGAGCACGTCGTCGGCCTCCTCCAGCCCCTCGAATTGCCGCACTGACGCCTCAAGGAACACAGGGCACCAGTCCGGCTTCGCCGCGAAGGGCGGCACATCATCGGGACCGAGCTCGACACCGAGCAGCCCGCGCGCAAACAGCTCTTTCCCGTCCACCACCGGCAGCGGCAGCCGCCCCGCCCACACCTCCCCATAGACGACGTCGACGGCGCAAGGCTGCGAGAGGAACGCCGCGGCCGACACCCCGGCCGTCTTCGCCACGCGCCGCGCCCACGGCAGGTGCGGGTCGTAAACCAGCACGCGCACGGGCCGCCCCTCGGCGGCATCGGAGCGGATCAGCTCCGCCAGCGTCTCCGAGCCGACGGCCTCGAGCTGGCGCCCGTACTCGTCGAGGTCGGGGCACGCGGCCATGCCGCCGTCGTCGAAGCCGTCCGAGATGGCGGCCATCCTGAAGGGCTCCCCAGGAGGCGGCGTGGTGGAGAGCACGTACCGGGAAGTGACGAGCGTGGGGCGGAGGCCGTGGTAGGCGAGGCGGCGGCCGAACTCGAGCAGCGGGTTCGTGTGGCCCTGCGCGCCAGGGTACGGCAGGAGCAGCACGTGTGCGCCGCCGGCCCCGCGGGCAGCAGAGGAGGAAGACGACGTGGTGCAGGTGGTGCTCGTGCTCCCCATTGTTTGCTGTCTTCGCTAGCTTTGTGTTCGCACTTAGCTGTGAAGAGAGGCTGGAGTTTGGGAAACGATAAATAAATAAGGTAAGGCGTTGTTCCTTGCTGACTTGCAGTGGCGGCGGCGTGGCGCGCAATATATGAAGTGCAAACCAACCTTTCTATGTAAATCTGTGTAAAACAACTGTGGAGGAGAGGTGGGAGGGGATTTACAAAAGTGTAATTAGAAGCGGGCGTAATTACACTTTTGCAAATCCCCCCTCCCACCTCTCTCCCGCAGTTGGTTTGCACGGAGAGGTTGGTTTGCACTAGATATATTCCGTGGCGTGCAATGTATCAAGTGCAAACTTGTTGGAAACTCACTCGGAGTTGATGGTTGACGGTGTCGCGTCGCACGGTTTTTGTTGACGGAGTTGTCTGCCTTTTTTTCCTTTTTTTTCCTTTTTTTGTGGCCAAGCCAACAAAAGACAGGTAGAGTCTTTTTTTAATTATGAAGAAAAAAAATATCCGGCTCCAACATTCAACAGGTGAATGTGTATGGCCAAGCAAGAGGCCAAAGATGAAATCCGGTTACACAAACAAAAGCGATACTGCTCCACTAAGAGCCACCACCATAAACAATAAAACATAACACTTAATCTTCCATCCTCTTATGATATCTCCACCAAAAACAAAAGATAGGTCTAGAAATTTGTTCTATTATCTTATAAAACAAAAGACAGGTAGAGATAAAGGAGCCTCAAGCCGGCCACTTTTCTTCCAGAATTGCTATAGTGTGGACACCTTTTGGTTGGATTTTTTTGGGGGTGGTGGGTGGCGATGCATTAAGACCATTAGATTTAGATCGGATGGTTCTTGTCATATTTTATCTTTGATTGTCTTCTAACTTAGAGCATCTTCCAGAGTTTCCAAAATCCACTTTTAATCTTAATTTTTTTTTTGGCAAGGCTGAAAACAACTCTCCTGCAACTCTCAATCTTTGCGGGAAAATCTTCTCAACGTATAAAAGACAAAGAAAGTACAAGAGATCTCGCTAATTTCAAGGTGGAAGAATGTGGGGAAGAACTGGGAGTAGGACAGAGGTCTCACTGCGAATGTACAAGAGACAAAGAAAGTATAAAAGTGGTTACGGTGACTTTAAAATAGTCCGAGATTCCTGACGCAAAATTATTTTATATGTTATAGGAGCAATATTTTTGGAAACTGATAGAGGAACCCAACAAATATGCTCTCAATTTTTTAGCTACTTTAAAAACTCATTGATTTACTTTTTTTTTGAACTATTGATGCTCTTATGTTGTTCTTTAACATAAGTCTTACGCAGTTCACCTGAGATATCGCTTACCGTCGGTCAACCTCTGTCCTTGGCACCTCATGGTTGCCGTGTTTGACCCCGCTCCACTTACCGTGCTAACCTGATTTTGCCCGTGTGCGGCTATCCTCCTCTACTCCTCCCGCCCATCACTATCCTCCTCCACCCGCGGCTGGAGAGGCCTAGCAACACCTCGCCGCTCCACTCCCGCGCTTGTATCCTCAGCCTGGCCGACTTGCCTCTCCCAAACCTCATTCTAAGCCGCAGAGCACAACTAATCCAAACACAAATGCTTTGATAGGGCAAGAAGAGCTGCTACTAAAATCGATCTCGATTTCAAGCAGTTGTAGTATATATATTAGATATGTGCTTTTCTTTTTCTTTTTCTTTTAACCAGAAAGAGTTTCAATAGGATCATTGTTGAATTTGAAAATGTAAATCCTTAAAACTTTCATATTTACATTAAAAATCTAAAAAATCTGAGGGTACAATACAATCTGAAACTGGTAACTCTCAATATTTGTAACATTTAAATAAAATGTTCAAGTAACACATACATATATTCTTTTCGACATAATATTCGCTAATACATAAAGACTTTCAAAGGCGTCTCCTTTTCTGTAACCATGGTTGACAAAAAAAACCACCCCTAAAAATGTTTGTGGTGGCCTTTTGAAATGTCTTCCATTTCTAGGGGGTGTCTAGTGTTATGGACCGCCTCAAGAATTTAAGGTATCTCTACAGATGGATCGAAATAGATTTTCAGTTGCGGTTACTGACACTAGTGACTTCATATTTATATGCAGGCTCATTAAATAGATGAATGTCGCTATAGGCTGTTAGGCATCGATTTTCAGCCATAGTTAGAAATCCATTTGCATCATGACGAGATCCTAACATATGAGAATGTTAAGCCTCGGGATCAAAGGTTCCCGACCGAGAGACACCCCCCCCCCGATCGCCCCTTTCAGGATTGCCCGGGGGCTCGGGGGCTACACCCATCAGATACGCTCATGCGTACCCTCAGGCCAAGGAATCAGGCCGAGCCCGAGCGCAACTGCCACTTCCACTCAGGGCTCGGGGGCTCGCCCGATCCTTAGACTTCCGATCAACGAAAGCCTGGACCCAATCCTTGGCTCCCTCCCGGCCTCCGGCACCGGCCAAGGCCCAGGCACAAGAAGATACACCCCGAGCCACCAAGGCTCGGGGGCTCCCAGGCACTGCCCTACGGGCGTGGCTCTGTCAACCACTTCTCAGACAGGGTCACGCATGGGGTGTGGCGCAAGAAGACAAACTCCTCCGCGGCCTCCAGGGGATCAGGGGCTCCCGGGCCCGCGCATCAGCCTCTCGAGCCATCCTCCTTCACCACCAAGAAGCCTCCAGAAAGCGCACGTGGGGGAGGCCGGGCCAAGCCGATACAGCCTGACACTCAACTTGTCAGAACAGAACAGCCCGACGATGCCCACAGCTTCTCCGGCTCCACGACATCGCCACGGTCCACACGACGCCGCTGCAAGACCCTCCTAGACTCCGGCGCATGTAGACCATAGGCTCAACTCCTCCAAACCGGCATGTACCCAACCTACCTCTGAATATAAAAAGGGAGGTCGGATCCTAAGAGAGGGGGAGGACGATTCCCGTCAGATCATTCGCGTCCTCACCGTTCCACTCGAGCTCTACACCGAGAGCAGAGCAAGCCAGAGAGGGGCACCGAGAGCTCCTCCACCGCATCTGTTGTCTTCCTCCTCTCCAGCGAGGGGGAAGGCTCCACCGACGGCGAGGCATCCCTAGGATCCGCATCGAGCGATCCCCTACCAAATCTCTCTTTTTCTCCTATACACTCTACTGTAACACCCCAGATTTTTGGTGCTCTTGAGTATAAGGATCATCAGCTGCTGAACGTAGGGCATCGATTGGCCCGAACTAGGATAAACCGTTGCGTCCCTTTGTGATTCTTGTGTTCTTTAGTCCACCCGAGCCACCGAAGACACGCACTCTAACACTAACATGAACAACAATGCTTGCCACGGTTCCAACCCCGCGACACATTGCTACTACAGAAACAATTTTAGGAGATAATATTTTTTTATTTTCAGAGGAGGCACTTTAGTTCAACAATCTTTGTAAATGATTTTGGAAGACAGTAACATGATATTCCCACCTACAAAATTTGATTTTCAGAGGCAAGCTTCTTAAGGGGGTCGTCTCTATAAATACCTTATTTATAGAGATGGGTCTATTAAAAAGCCCATCTAGGAAAACCAATTTTCAGAGGTGAGACACGTAAGTTACCGCCTGATGAAAGAGTGGCCCAAGACCCATAAAAAGTGTTACTTGTAACCTAGACTTCCGCACAAAACACTTTTCCAAAGTTGCCACTTGTAGTATCGCCTTCTTCGGTAGGGGCCGCTCGATCTTCTCCACCACGGCTCCTTTAGTCTTCTCCATCGAAGTGTCCTCGGCCTTGTCTTCTCCGCTTCGCATCCTCGATCTCCATGCATGGCCGGCCCTACTAGAGATCCTCACCATCAGCTATGCTCGCATCTCATCGCTCTATCTGAGTGAGCGCTGCCCCCACTCCTCTGTCCATGTCCATCTCCTCCGTCTCTCACTCACCCTCTCTATCTCCTCACTGATACAAGGTTGCCATTGACTATCCTTATAGATCCAAGGTCCTCGACAAGTCGAAGCTCCGTCTCCAAGGTGAGCTCTAGCCTCTCTCTCTCTCTCTCTCTCTCTCTCTCTCTCTCTCTCTCTCTCCTCACACTCGGTCTTCTCGCTCGCCGGTCCAAGGTTTCGATCTGTGGTGATGACAACATAGGCAGACTAATGGTTCGATTTGCGGCAAAAGCTGTGTGGGTGGGTGTCTTTGATTTGTGATAGACGTCTCGGTCTGTGGTGGTCCAAGTCAAGACTCGGCGTTGGGGTCAGTGGATTTGAGGGCGGGCCTTGACACCAGCCGATTTGATTTTTTTTTTTTGAATCAATTTTCAAAGACGGGCATCGTAAACCCTCTTCCTCTCTAGAGTTCCATTTGTACAAACGGGTATAATAAGCATCCCCTCCTCTAGTGTTCTATTTGTACAGATCACCCGGCCCGGTCACTGAAAATCCTGTATTTGCAGTGACCATGTAGCAAAGGCAGGGCTGTAGGGGATACACCGCCACTGTTAACCCCAAGTGACCGACTATGAAAATGTACTTTCCAGTAGTGATATTTATATAGAGTTCCAAAATTCATTTCAAAATCATCAAAAGTTTGAGCTGCATTTGAAAAAAAATGAATGTCATCACTGTGATGTGAGACAATATGTCTAACATAGCCTGTCACGGGACATGTTAAGTGAATTTTCTTGCTATAAAAAAAGATCAAATTAAATTTGATATTGTTCTATGGATTCTATTTTTTTGTCGTTTTTGCGGTACATGAGCCTAGAATATTGAAGTTTTTTTTTTGACGGTGGTTTATATTTCCCTGTCAGTACACTGTGTCAAGGATAGACAATAGACCTGGTGAATGTGATTTTTCCCGTCGACGCACGGGAATTTCCCTGTCAACGCCGTACCGATAAGGAAATTGGTGTCCCGACAGAAAGTACCTCGACCGATAGAAAAATCTATTTTCTGTCGCTAGGGAAATCTTTGTCTGCAATAGTGCCCTCAAGATCATTGTTCAGAAAACGAAATTTGAAGCT